GATCCCGATCGTGTTTGATGAGATCTCGGATCAGCGATTTACAGATGAACGCCTTTCGCAAATTCAACACTTTAGATAACAGAGATTGTTAATTTAAGTGAAAAGTATTGCAAGAAAATTAATTTAAAAATAATTCATTCATTAACAGAAAAATCGAATGCTATTTATCTCTCAAAGCAATTAAGGTGTTCTGGACAAAAATAATCATTTGCTAAACAAAAAAGATATATTAAATCTTAATATGCATATTTCTTTGAATAGTAGTAATTAAGTAAATTAATTTACAGTAAACAAATATTTACTCAATAAAAAAGATATAGTTAAAATAAATTAATGACTTTTGTACGAAATACATATGTTTATCATGTAGCAAATATTTACTTATTATTAGAACACTATATTCGAACAAATATTTATTATAATTTGATATTTTTTCCAGTGTTTTTCTTGACTTGTTTTTTGTTAGAGCTTCTATTATCGCCCACTGATATCAGCTGTAAAAAACTACTATTTGATTCATTAATAAAGGTGACTCGACTTTTTTAATCCTTTTGGCTGTCAATGAGCAATCAATCGATCCATCAATCAAAATGATCAATCATCAACCGGTGTGATCCTCTCACGTTTCACGTGAGCGGATTAATTGATATCTGGGCGTGGTAACACCTGGTTTGCCGATCGATACCGAGGTAGCCGCACGTATATTTTCACCCTCCCTGCGCGCGCTCCTTTATACTTCCGGAAAGAGCAACCGACTAATTCAGGGTCGGGCTGACGCTTTTTTTCCGCTGAAATCAAAGACATCGTCGCTCTTGCGTCGCGCACGAGAAACGAAAATCCAATATAAAACCAATATCGGAAGTGACGAGCCGCGAATACCTCCACCTTCTCACGAGCTGGTCTCCCTCTTCCTTTTCGTACATCCTCCTCCTGCTCGCGAAAGTAATTTTCTTATGGGTGTCTGGAATTTCGCTTAGTGTAGCTCTCTAAACGAATGGGCAATGATTGATGCAAGGAGTAGGACTTAAAGGAGGAGAGTCAATAAAACCGTTTTTTTTCTTGTTCAGGAATTCTAAAAAAAACAATTTTTTATTATATGATTATTAGGAATGTCAAAAATAATCATTATATGAAAAAAATTCGGTCTTATAATATTCTTAATAATCATACAATACAAAAAAATTAATTTTTAAAAGTTCTGAGCGATCCAAAAATGACCCTCTTCTTTTATATTATGAATTCGCATCTTTGAATGTGCAGCTATAGTTTTTTTAGCTGTTTTTTTTTTTAGTTTATTGGAAGCTGAAATTTTCCACAGAAATAACAGTATATGTACGATTTAATTTTTTGTCATATTTAAAACTAATATTTTCCTTCAAAAATACAATACTTCTTCTCTTAAATATTTTCTCTTAATTCTCTCGATTCTAGTTATTAAACGAATATGTGTGATTTATAGTGCTACTAAACTATTTAGCTTTTTTTAAGTGATCGACGCGTTTGATTCAATTATCGACATCGCTGCGTTGAGAATAAACACCTGAAACATTGATTCACATGATGTATGCATTGTGCATGCAAAGCTAGTAAAGAATAAAAAAGACAACGTGTTCTTGTACATTTTGTCCCTTTTATTTGTTACTAGCTTTGCATGCGAAATGCGTACGTCATGTGAATCAGTGTTTCGGGTGTTTTTTCTCGACGCAGCGATGTCGATAATAGAATCGAGCGTGTCGATTGCGCGTGTTTTTCAGTGCAGTCGTGCATCGAGACAAACACACTATTTGCCTCGATAACGAAACAGCGTGATGAAAACAGCAGCTGTAGAAACATGTAGATACGCGGCAACGTGCGGGCACAATGAAATGCTCGCGTAATACGTGAGTGCAAGTTTAATACCGGAGATATCCCGTTGCCTTTAAAAGCGACGAGTTGCGAGAGATACTCCACCTTATTGAATGATCCATAGTTGACGGCAGGGTTCACCACAATTTCTCTCGACGACACCTGCGACGCGCGATTTATTTATTAGAACGTTATAGGATCGATACGGCATCGTGAGATGCTAAATTAAACTAAAATCCACGGAAAATTAATTCAATGTTTCAATTATTATTATATTTAAAAAATAGTATTGATGTAATATTTTCTGAATAAACTTTTAGAATAAATACGCTTTAAAAATAACACGCATTTAAAAAAAAATATCTCGAAAATGCTTTAGAATATTTCAGAAAAAAATCCTCCCCTCTAATTGTCTCGCTCTGTATAATATTTAAATTTTATATAAATATTTATTTTAAGATCTTATTTTTTTTATTATTTATAATTTTATCTGTACATATTATAAAAGTCATGAATGTCATCATTTATTTAATTTCTTTCAATTAAACTTTTATTTTAATGCATAATAATTTTACTTAATTAATTTACGTTGCACTGTGTAAAAATGGTTTTATATATAATCTATTAATAACATAATTCAATAAACAAGCATGTAAAATATATACATGTTTACCTTGTTATTATAAAACAAATAACATCAAACAAAAATTTGCTAAAAAAAAAAGGGAAAATAAATGAGTTTGTAAGATTTTTTTAAACACTAAAAATAACTAACATTTGCGATGCGCGACACTCTATGTCCACGCATAAGGTAATCAATATCGCGAGTGCATAATGCGAATGCGTGTATCCTTTTATAAATTCGTGTGTGGGATTTTCCGCAGGCGAAGTTTTCCTTAGGGGAAGCCATGCACGAGGGAAGTTTTCCGGGAAGAGCGCCTGCTGACGAAGTTCCGCGGGCGATTTTCCCGAGTCAGAGTTTCCTCCCGACATTTCCACCACCAGCGTTGCACGTGTCCGGCGCTTTTCTTCCGACACTAACGGCGATTGTACTTTCGGCCGAGTTTTTGCCCTAATGGAATTCATTATCCCGACTCGTGCGCCGACATATTTACTCTTCTCCCTCCGGCATAGCAGTAGTGGCTCAAAGTTCCCGTAGTATCCGGTAATAAATTATAACCGGGTTTTCCTCCACCCTTCTAATTATCTCGTAATGATCATAATACGTGGCTTTTCTAGCCCAAAGTCGGAAAAAATTGATAAACAATATTATAAAAGAAATTTAATAATGCGATTTTAATAAATGTACTCTATTTTGAAAATAATGCTACGTATTTTTAAAAATGTACAACTAACAAAATTCTCTTTCGCATGTATTGTTAATTTATTTTTCATGTATATGTATATTACAGAGAGAATCACATTATATGAGAGAAGAGAGAGAACCATTATAATATATTCTAGCATACGCTTTTGATAAACTTTACAGAATAAATATTACAAAGAAATATCATGATATCGTAATAAAAGTGGGGTAGCATTTTTCCACTGACAATAGTATCATTCCCGTATGATAAATAATTTCACAAGCGAGTAAATAATTTGCGAGTAAACGGAAGATCGGCGTATAAGTGGGGAATGTGCCAAAACGCGATATCTCGTTGAAATGCGCCGTCGAGCAAAATTGTGATATATTTCATAAGTAAATTTGCATCTATTCCCACCCTGCGGGCAGGTGAGACTTTCGCGGCCGCTTCTTTTCGTTATCCGCGCCAATCCCCGCATCCGGAGGCAAGGCTGATCCTCGACCGCGCGTTGGAAAATGTAAATCAAACCGAGGCCGAGCACGAGGCACAACCCTCGTCGCGCGTTGCCTCGGGGCGAAGAGTATGTAAATGACACGGCACGGCGCGTCAGATACGATCTCGTTACCAGCGCGACAGACGCGGGCTCGGAAGGGGACCGAAAGAGAAAATTTATTGCGCGAACGGATCAACGTGAAGTCCGCTCGAACGCACGCGGTCTCGAGATCTCAGGTGAAACGACCGCGAGCGTGATCGAGCTCCTTGAGACGGAACGCGAATCTCGAATCTCCCTCCGATCCACTCCCGCGAAGTCAAAATCGCGAATCATTTTTCGAGGGATTGCGACGTACAGTTCTCACGCCTCTCGCCTTCAGATCAAACATCTATTTGCTTATTTGTTATACCCTGTCTGTAAATTGCTGCACGGAAAGAACGATTTTGTCGAGGTATCTATAAATGTAGCTTATAAATGCAAGATCTGAAAATGGTTTTGATAAATCATCCAAATATTGCAGGACGCTCAAGCATAATGAATAATATTGCGAAAAGTTTCGACGTTCGAGCAACCATATATAATTATTTTGATGATCTGATAAAATTATTTATATCTAGTTAATCTTTAGATACATTATTACTTGAAAGTATTTGCCCGTTAATTAAATGAGGAAGAGTGAATTCCGATTTTTCTACTCTCGCTAGACTTAATAATAATAATGCTTAATAGTTACAAATTTATAATTCTACATATAGTAAAAAATAGAGTAGAATGACAGCAGATTCAGATGTATAAAACTGCAGCGTATAAAAATCAGGATGGACGAATACTTTCGAATGGTAGTGTACTTTAAGAAAACTGTTCTTTCCATGTATTGTAGGTTTCGATATAATTTAATTTATTGCGATTATAGTGTAATTTTTTATAAGAAGAAAGTTTAAGTGATGTTTCCATTATTTAAACACAATTAAAATTATCAGGCTCGGTTTGTACGCTACAAAATCGAAGTCGTCAAGGTATAACGTAAGATAAGAAAATGGTGACGGTAGATGCAATTGCATTACTGTAACTCTGTGATTTATTTGCCGACGTAGTAAGCATACATAATACGCAGGGCAATAAATTTTGAAGGCACAATCGGTACTGACAATTGCGTTGAAATGTTAACGAAAATTTATACATTCCACGTATTACACCATTTTCACTGTACATCGCAGAAACTCGAGACGGTACGATCTCATAATTTCGCGCACGGACGCGCCGCAAATTTTGCGAATAAACGCAATTTTTTCTGAACCATTCACGTCGAATATCAAAATATAAGTGACAGGCTAGAAAATATAAGGATATAAATGTCACGTTTTTTTTTGTAATTTAAGGATCACGATTTCCTAAAAACAAAAGCACGGGCATGTATATGGTATTATGATAAGAGAGGTGGATTTGCACTTCTAACAAAAAAAATATATTCTAAGAACTAGTTTGTTTAAATAAAAATACCAATTAATGAATAAATTAAAACAAATATGACATTAATTTATTCATTAATTTGTATTAATTCATGAGTCGTTAACCAAACTTTAATAGGTTTGTGTTAGTTTATACTTTCTTTTGAAAAATACCAATCTTTCTTACAGTGTTAAATTTTTGAGAATAAAGCATTTTTTTAACAAGGAAAAATAAAGTATATTCCTTCTGATTTGATTATTCAAATCTTTAAATATATTGCATCGCGGTCCCGTTTTTTTTATTCTCGTGATATTCAGTATGATGTCGCATCTGCCGTAAAACGACAAGAAAGCTAATTCCTCTTCCCGATCTTATCGACCGTGGCGAATCCCTACTCGTATCTCGCTTTGTCGCACGGCACAGCAAATAAAAGATCGTAGCTTGATCGCGGGGCTTTGTTGATAAGAGACGAACAAAGCGGTGACTTACCGCGGCAGGACATGGCGAACTGTCCCTGGAGAGACTGCCGAGAGTCACCAATAAACGACGCGGGGCCCCCAACACCGAGTCTCGCCATCCCTCTGTAAAGAAGCAAGAAACAATTGCATTATACATCGATGGACGTTTTTCATCTCAGCGAGCAATGTGCCATCTGTTTCCCTTAGGAACCGAGTAGAATTCGACTACCGTTAGCGACGTGAAATGAATTTTTAATTAAACGATGTAAGAATTATTGTTATACGACATTTTAATCTTATCGAGCTAGTCGTACATTTGAAACTCAACAAATAAGAAATATATAGAATATATTAGCCATAAGTCGATGCTGAGTCTTATTGCTTTTAAATAATTCAATGTGAATTATATATATATATATTTGTAGTCATTTTTAATTCTTCTAGACTTCATATAATAAAATAAGGAAGACTTCTACATTACATATTTCTATGTATCCATATATACTTCTATATTTGATCATATTAACTTGAGTATTTGTGACGACCGCAGTCATAATGAAATTTTATTCGGAAATGTCAAATGAGATCTCTTCCTACGCATTTTCTTCTAAAGATCGAAGAGATGCAGCGTACCTTTCCGCACCCTACGGGCTGGTCTTAATCATTTACTATCATCGAGCTGTAACGTACAAATGAAACGCGGTCACGTAACTGGGAAGTCTTGAATTAAGGACAATCGGCTCTCCGAATCGTAATTCCGCCGCCTAAATCCGGTTTCAGCACCACCCTTAATACAAACGAAGACAAGCGATCTGTCATCGAGCTGTTTAATGAAAGTCGCGCCTACGACTTAGGGCTGTCCGGCTTAAGAAGCAAACGGAGAAGATGGGAAAATGAAGAGAGACAGAGGAAGGGAGCGAGAAGGAGAGAAGAGAGGGGAGAGAGAAACTAAGGTGAAAGCCGAACGTTTAATCTAGCAATATGAAACTTCTCTGCGGGTTTAACTCATAGCCTCTACCCTCTATATAGTAATCACATTATTCCACAAACATGTAGAGTAAACCAGAGTATACCTATAATAAGAATATAGCCACCGTCGTAGTGGCGGTCATGTGGGATTGAAACCGAAAGTTCACAACCATAAAGCACACAATAAAGACAATTATAACCTATAAATAAAACGAAATATACTGATGTGGTGTACAAATATTGTGCATTTATACATCTACTTATTTTTGTTTTAATATTAATCACAATATGAAATGCATAAACTCATTTTTTCTTTTACCTCACTTTATAAACAGCTTTGCCTGCGTTCGATTTTGGCGTTTCAAAACGTGCAAAAGTATGTAAATTAACAAATGGAGGTCTGTTTTTTATGACTAAACTATAGTGTACACTTTTGGAATTTAAAGTGATGAGATGATATATGTTTAATATTTGAATGGTTACAAATAATTCAAATAGAGTATAATTTGACATTATGAATTTAATACTGCGACAATTGTAATCGCAGAAATAAAAATCGTTTTTCCTAGTTGTGTTATTTATCGCAGCGCGCGGCAGTTGCGAAAGAAAATACGAAGAGTACTCCGAACTTATCGTTCATTCATTCAGGATGATAAACGCCATTCTGCCCCCGGAAAAATCCTACGAGCGAGTGCACATACTTCGCTCCGTAATAATAATAAAGTTACAGCCCAACCTCGGTTCCGAGGAGATACGGCTGGTGCGCGGCCACTAACCGGCCGCTGGATTAATAAATCTCAATTACGCGAGTTAATGCAGAGGGTAATTCTCTCCCCTAGACCTCGCCGGATACGAGGGTGAAGGCATTTCTATCGCGCATTGTTGCTGGGACAATGACGTCGACGATTCCGCCGCGCTTGTAAACTCGTCATCGCATTCTCGAAACTTGTATCCACCGGCGGAGTCTTGTTATTAACCTTCCCGCAAAGATAATCAAAACGTCCATAATAGGAGGTCAGAAATTCAATAAGGAAACATGCGATAAGCGTTGTGTTGCACGCAAAGTGCTGGATAATGTTTCCTATCAATATTGCCTTGTGAAGAAATAAAGTAATTTTTCCTCAATAATGATAACGCGATTTTTATCGATTGTATAAAAGAGATTTTCGCGAAATGTGATTGGGAGATCAATTGGAAATAAATCTCAAAATCTCTTAATTCGTTAACGTAAAATCTGTTTTCAAATTTGGAAGATGTCTGTTATGATCTCTCATATTAAAACGTTTTTTTTAAAAATAATTTTGAGATTAGATATCAAAAGTTAATGTACTTTAACATCAAACGCTTGTTTTTACTTTGCTAATTCGTAAACCTCCTCTCTATTTTCTTTATTAATTTTAAAATAATTTAAAAGAAATTAAATTTTAAATTACATTTTATGTTAATAAATTTTTATCCTCCACTTTTTTGTCTCCGTTTTCCGTGGCATTTAAACAAAAAATGCACCTAGGAAGCCTAGCGAGAATTCGTAGCGCATTCAGATTAGAACTCTGAAGGAAAACATCTTCCTCTTGTCGAGTCGGAGTAAAGCTCCGTGCTTCGAGTCAGGATCCGGGATCTCGAGGGATTAAGACATCGCGTAGCAAGCGGGACAGCTAGCTAGCCAGCCAACCAGACAGTCGCTGAATACAAATACGCCTCTCGTTTGCACGTCGAATTAAACCGAAATAAATCATAAATATTAAACGAGGCTTTCAGTCGCGGGATTACGAGGGCTTGGGGCGCCGTTCCCTCCTGATCGTCGAACCCCGATGGGCGGAAATTGCGCGCAGTGCGCGCCCTTTCCCCAACCCCCTCGTGTCCCGGGGACAACCCGGAAATCTCAATGACAATGGAGCTTAGTGCTCGACCGAGATATGCCTCGCGTATCATCACGGTGGCCACCAGAGAAGATCTCGTTGGTCTTCCAAGCGGTGCAAGACGAGAGCACTTCACTCGATCTTCCTGAAGATTTTGGTTGACCAAGCAGGACGAGAGATAGTCGCGGTTCTCTTGTCGACATTTTGATATTTATCAAGCTAATTTTGCTTTCAGCATAGGGCTTAACAAATCTAATGTATTATTATATTTTGATATTTTTGAAAAATTTCTAAAGAAAGATATTTTAGCAAAATTGTACTTTTGTGCACAAATGAGTGACGTCTGGCGAATTTTACGCGTCAGATATGAGCTACATGACAATTAGTGTTAATATACGTGTTATAATAAGCATGCACGCATTTTTTTGCTAATATGATAGCATAATTTCATTTAAAAAAAAAGTAATAACGATATATTACAATAGAAGGTTCCCCATTAAGAAATAAATATCATAACAAGAATATTTCTATGAAGACTTCTTCTTAACAAGAATTCTCGATAACAAGTCTTAATATTAAACCTGGCAGTCTTCTTTCATTTTAAATTGCTTTTGCTTTAATAGAATTTTTTTTTATTTAAACGGAAAGACGTACGGAATCATTCCTCTGCAATTTGAGATTTTTCCATGCGATTTTATTAACAATGAATTTGAGCTCGTTTATACTGAAATTCAAATTCTAAGAGGATTCAACCATAAGGAAAGTTGCAGAAGTCGTTTTATTGAAATGCTGGAGTTTCTGATCTCGTTTCGCACTACACAACTTCTGTAAGTGGATTAGACCTCGCAGTAAAGGTACAACGAGATTACCATACCGTATGCCTTTATTGATATTCGCGAGGCGATATACTAAATATTACGCTTGTATTTATTTTGTATCCACTTCGTTAAATAAAAGTATGTTTAAATGCGGGAGGAATACTTGAAACTCGTAATTAAAAGCGTACGTTTGAATACCAGACTTTACCGGGAAAGCGTAGTCTAGGAAAAAAAACTAAAAAAATTATAAATTATATTTGAAGTTAGAAGTTGTGAATTTATAAGTCATACTACAAGTTATATATTTCTCAACCTAATTGCCATTTCCTTCCTTCCTTTCTCATCTGTCGACGGTAAAGTGCGTAAATTATCCTGAAGTGAATGAAGATGTGAACTCCAACTTTCTCCTTCGTATTTTCTCGGAAGTTGGGAAAGTTGTACGACTGCGGCCGAAGGAAAATCGATGGTCGTCGTTCTGACCGAATCCTCATTCCAATCCCGCAGGAACGAAATGGCTTGATTAACTGACGACGCGTCGTTACTGCGGCCACCCTGCCGGTCCGCTATTACCCTGTAGGGGTGGAGCAGGCTTAAAGGGTGCCCTAGGCAAGAAGAAAACGGAAGGGAACGGCGCCCTACACGTCCTTTATCCACTGCGATCACGTTCGTGGTTTTTTTTTTCTACTCGATAAAGGGTCTTTCTCCGCGAGATGCGTGTCTGATCGACGCCATTTAAAGATCGTACAAAGAAGATGCAATCGTTTCATCCCGTTTTTCTCGAACGTCGAAGTCAACTACATCCTTCGACGATTTAACTGCAGCAGGGACTGCAAGGAATTTTTACGGCGTTAGAACGAGACATTTTTACGATCGCTGAACCAATCCGAGACTTTTCGATCCGTTTTACCTGCCCATTCGTTTAATGCATTAAAATACCCAATATTCTCCAGTAACAATCAGTATCGAAATCGAATAAAATCTCACTTTAGATACTGACCAAAAGAGCCGAGCTACTCCATAGCAACGGATTCGTATTTTTCAAACGTTCGCAATTGTCTCAGTGTCCACATCCTTCAACCACTTACAAACGCTTTTATCAACACCTCTTGGGATCGAGTTGAACGATAAAATTGTCGAGTGTCTTTCTAGCAATCCGATCAAGAGCTCGAAATTCAAACCGGATCAACTTCAAAAATTCAACCCGACATAATTTCATTAAGTTTAGATTGTTACATAAAGAAGATGATTTTGCTGAAGTTATTTAAAAGGTTGATTAGATACACATCTAAAAATAATTCTATTAGACTATGACTATACATAATTATTTTGATAGTCCACAAATTATTTTCAAATCTGTATCTAAATTTTTGAATATACATAAACTCGGAAAGACTATTTTATACATCGACATTTAAAAAATAATATAAAAATATTATATTTTTAGAAAAAAGTCAGATATATATTATCAAGAAAATAT